CCGCCGCCGCGCTGGCCCCGCCCCTGCCCGCGCCCTCCCGCGGAGCCTCTGTCCAGACGCAGAGGGTCGGCCCGGCAGCCGCGCCGCGACCCGCGGGAGCGCATGTCCCCAAGGTCGCCCTTCACGTTCCAGCTTAAAAGTCTCGTCCTCAGAAACGATCTCCCCTCCCAGCGGCTTAAAGGGCCTCTGTCCTGATATACTAGTTCCCGCTTCAAGTCTTTGTAGCACTTATTTGGGGCTCTTGGCTATCGGCTTTCCGCCGTGGGCTGTGGGCTCCCTGAGGTCGAGACGCGGCCTGACACCAGCCTGGCACAGAGGTTCTCAGTCTTTGTTGAATGAACGACTGTTGGCGTGGATTTACGCTACCCTGCGACCAAGGGCCCGGGAAGGGCGGCTGTCACTGAGTCCCTCTCCGCCCCGCCTTCCGATGTCCTAGGTAGGGGGAACAAGAGGAATAAGGCTTGGGGCTGCCGCGGGACATGTCCCAAATTCGGGTAGAAAGGTGGCGGTGGGAGCTATTTAAAGGTTAAGAATTCAAGCAGGCACCAAGAGTAGTAGCAGAAAAGAATGGTTGTGCTCGAAACAATATTTAATATATGTTAACAGGATTTTTAAGTCGGTTTTCTCCTCCACAGTACTTTTTTTACCCCCCATTATTGGAACACTGGCCCCTAACGGCCATTGTCGTCGCCTCATTCGAAACAGCCTTCTTGCCTGCCCACAGCAAGGATCATTAAGGTCAGGTGAAGCTACTGCACTTAACAGTTAGGGCTCAAGAAAGCCTAACAAGAGCAGTACTGTTTCACAAACTTTATTCCTTAAAACCCATTAACTAGGCATCAGATGGAAGCTATCCCATTTCACTGAGCAAAATCGACTAGGCTAAAAGCTAACTCCTACCAGATTACTTTTTAAAAATGTTTTCACATAGACTAGGCTTATTTTACATTGCACACATTGGTGCTGGTTTCCTTCTCTTGCTCCTCAGCTTCCCCCTTCTTTAGATAAGGTAAACATTACAATTCTGTCTGGATTTCAAAGCAAATGGCCAACTTTTAAAAGTGACAAGTCTTAGGGGGGAGATGTATCTAAACATTTGCTGTAAATCTAAATTACATTAATAACAAAAAGATTTTGCTTCATTGTTTGGAACACCAAAGAGGTTCCTTGGAGAGTGCCTGGAGGAACGAGTCAGCTGAAGTGGCTTTAAGGAATAGTGATTAAGTAACAATATTTTTCAGGACCCATTAGACACTTTTCAGTACCTCTAAAGGCTACCACACTAGGCGTGGGCTTTGAACCCAGAACTGCATTCAAATCTCTGCTCCCACTAAAGAGACTAACTGTAGGCAAGTTATTCAACCTAACAAGACTGTTCTCTCACCTGTGTTAGAGAGATAATTACCTCCTACTACAGGCTGTGAAGATTAAATGAGATATCCCATAAAAAGTGATCCATGGCAGTTGTTAAAAAAATGTTAGTTCCCTTCCTTTTCCTTTCCTAATCAAGACCAAAGGTTATAATGGCTTAGGACAAGTACTTCAATGCAAGTTCACTTAAAAACTGCCAAGGGAAAAAAAATCCATTTTGTGTCACATAATGCATCAATAACATCGGAAAAGTCTATATACCATCTCCATTATACTCCATGCATTGGCAAGAATATCTACATCACCAAAATGAAAATCTTAAATTGTTATAGTTAAGATGAAAAAATGTTAAGCAGCAAGAGGCATAACTGCGACATGCCACGTGTAATTTTTCTTCCCCCAAAGTACAATAGCTCCATCTCAATATAGAAAGAATTTTGGTACCAGCAGATAGTATAATGGTTATGTGGCTGGACTCCCACATAGTTGACCATGGTTCAAATCCCAGACCCAGTGGCTTAAAACTCATGCCAAGTCCGATGTGCATGCCCAAGATCCCGAGAGGAAACCAGAGAAGGGACTGCAGCACGGCCATCCCCCTGGGGAGTGATTTCTCGTTTTCTCTCTCTCTGTCTTTCCAGCAAGCATATGTATCCCAAGTCTCTCTCCAAAAAAAGGCAAAAAAAAAAAAAAAAAAGGAAGAAATTTTCCCCAGACATTAACAATCTTTTCTTTAGAAAAGTCACAAGGTCTTCTAAAATATTTTTCTAAAAATAATAGGAGGTAGAGACAAAAAAGGGATTAGTACTCTAAAAACAGGTTCCAGGTATTTAGAATTCACATGTACTAAAAATTTTGTGATGAACATCAGTTAAGGACAAATCAGACTTTGTTTATTAAAAAAATACTTTACAGGGAAAAAAAAAACCTCTATGCATTCCATTGTCCTATTTTACAAAGAAATAGCTTAACAATTTAACACACTTAGACAGCTACAAAAAAAGCACTGTGTTAAAAGGATTATTATTCACACAAATTTAGGTTTAAGACTATTCATTAAAAATCTTTTTAAAACACTTGTTAATGTCAATAAACAAACTAAGGCCACACAACGCAAATAGTCCGCCAGGCAAATTATACATTTCATCTATATGCAAAGACCTCTTAGATAAATTAAAGCCACAGGAAAAAAAGGCTTAGCTGCCAATCAAAATGGAGTTTAGTCACAGAAAACACTATTACATGAAAATTTACAACATGTGATAGAAGTAGTACACAAGTATTTCTTTAGAGAGAATTGAAAAGTGCTATATTTTAAGAGACAATGGTCTCAACTACATGCACAAGTGGATCCTAAAAAATGTATGAAGAAAATGGAAGGCCATAATATTTATGGAGAGATACTTGCTTTTAAAGCAACAAACTTCCAAGATGAAGATAGGTCCCTTATGTGCTAAAGAAAAACATTTGTATTGTGCATTTCCTCTACTTGCATGACCAATAAATACAGTTACAACCTGTTTAAAAAACATAAAACTTTGCACAAATGTGAACCTCTGGCATATGCTAGTGTAAGGTTCTTTTTATAAAAACCAGGAGCAATGATAAAACAGACTTATTTGAAAGAGACAAAACGCAATTATCCTAAGGTATAAATGCAAATAAATCTTTAATGGCAAATACAGGTGAAAAAATTAGGGGCTAATATTAATGATCAAGAATATAGTCACTAAGGGTTTTCATGGACTTTGGAGTTTTGTTCCTATATTAGCATTCATTCTAGACAATAATATTTATATAGGGAAAGGCAATAAGCAAAAGTTTCTCCAAGTCATTAAGTGTGATCTTTATGCCTATTAAGACTGATGCAAGACATCTTTTCCTAAAGTTTAAGAAAGAATTTTACTTAATTAGCTCCTTTTTCCTCCTACAAGAGCTTATATTAGTCAACTGATATTCCAACTGTCTGTAAGGGAAAAGGACACTTCAAAAGTCTTTAAAAATAATAAAAGTACCAGTTAAACTCTAAGTACTGAATAAGCAATTTAAAAGTACAAAATTAAGCCTAGCAATTCATTTTTAATTAAAATTTTGGAGGGGAGAACTAAAGTATAGGTTTTCATTATTATTGCTTTGTGAAATTGGGATACCTCTTTGAATCATAATCCTACTCCTAGCATATCCTGGTAATTAGAGAATGATTTCTCGGGCAGGGGGAAGACTTTTATTCCTTTAAATGAATACCATAAAGTCTTTCCACTTAACTAAGGAATATTCATTTATTGGGTCTTTTCCATAGCACATTGTTTTAAAAATCCCTCTGCTCCACAAAATACTAAAACTCACAGCCACGTTCTGCAAGTAATCTCAAAAGTTGGCACAACAGATAATATATCAAAAAGGAAGATCAGCTTAAATTTCAGTTATAACTTCACTGCCATCACTACTTTACAAATCAGAAGACGCCAGATTGCGCCATGCCTCACTGCACCAAACCAAATATTTTAATGTTTAGAAAAATTGCAATCATTTGTATCACTAAACTCCGATACAGCTTTGAAAGCAGCAAGAAACTCAAAACTTCTGATTTTTATATTCATCAGTCTTTAAAGCATGCTATTAAAATCTAATACTCACTCACATAGGACATTCAGAGTTTCCAGATACATTACTAGCTAAATGTTTCTCTCCATTCTATTGCAATTCTAACATACAATTAATTTATTAGTACATGATTTTAAACATTTTTATATTCTTTTAATATGTTTATATTGGAGGTGAGGGTAGAATGTTTTATAAAAGGAAAATGGGGATTTGCTTTTGATTGTAGGTCTTTGCAGATCCGCTGGTTCCTGAGTGATTATACACAGTGCTGGCTGTCAGGAGACAGTCTCCTTGTTTATTAGCAATGACCAGCTTAGATGACAGATGGCATCTGCTGGATGGCAAGTGGGAGATGGGGAAATGGGATCTTGGAAGACAGGAAAAATAAAAATAAAAACTTTTTGCTTTAACAACCTTGCTCTTCATGATTATTTTAAAAAGCAAATGTTGCCTGAGAAGAATTTTACTTTGCACAGCCTGGTAAAGCTCTATGAAATTCTTCTGGACAGAAAACAAAAACAAAAACAAAAACAAGAAATAACCCAAACCCACACACTTTGTGATTAACTCCCTCCCCCACAAAATAACAAAAAACACCCTCAAAGGCAGGTCCCTTAAAAACTAGTCTTGATAAACTAGAATTTACCCTAGAATTTTACCCAAGATTTAAAAACACCCCTTCAATAATCACATTACCTTTCATACCATTCTAATAACCTTATTTACAAAGATAACTAAAACCAACATCACTTCCAATTCATAAATGGTTTACAATGAAATGTTTCCCTATTCATCCTTTGTAACAGAGAATACATACATATACATATATATAAGGAATAATACAGATTCTAACTAATCACTGCAGTATTTGCTGATGGTTACTTTTCTATCGGTTTACACAGTGACCTCTATACTCTGCTAATATGCATTTAACTACACAACAATATTGCACAAAGTAATATTTATATAAAATTTAACCTATTTCAGAATATTTTAGAGAAAATTCATATTTGATATTTCAAAAGATGCAGCTAAGTTTTCATGGTGACAGACATAATGAAGCAGCATCTTTTTTTTTTTTTTTTTTTTTTGCCTATGTTAATGTAAATACTTCAAATCTCACCATCCAGGAAAAAAAAAATCTCCAAATTGCACTGTAACCAGGTAGACACAAGAATCTGGTCTTAGGTGTGGGGAGTACTCTTCCTTTAATAAACAAATGGCCTGTTGTATTATTAACTAACAAAAGGTGTAATGTGTATCACGTTTATGTTCTAAAATAATAGAAAATTAAGAACACACTAGTTCTATCAACCGTGCCTGTTTGGGAAAAAAAAAAAATGTAAATATTCAGGCACTAAACATTAGGCTACCTGAAACTCTAGGATGAAGTCCAGTGCCATATTCTTTATTAGAGAATGGCAACAGAGTAACAGTAAATAAACCCACGTATTTACTAGTTAAAACTGTGAAGTAAGTGTCTCCATAGTAGATATTTGTCATGATGAGGTTAATGCCAAGTGACAAGAATAGTTTTCCTAGGTCTGACGCTCGAAATACGGCAGCCTCATCAGTAAGATTGATATCATTCTAAGTTTGATAGTTGTGATCAATTTAGGAAGCAAAAGCATCCATCCACACAAAATGTGAGGATGCTAGGAAGCAGAACAATAGAGTAGCATGTCAACATTATCTCTTTTACCCGAAATATTTTCCACAGTTACCATATATCCTAGAAGAGATTAATGAACCATGGATAATGAATGACCAAAGACTATTCATCTTTAGTTTTTTTTTTTTAATTGAAATATCCATTGGGCTTTAAATAACAGATACAAAAAAGACAGTTTAGATCAGAAAGTGCTGTGCTTTCTCTTTGTTAAAAAACCAGAGAGCCACTGAATTTTCCTTAGAAACCACTTGTTCTTTGTGGTTAGAACTATTAATAAATAACTTACTTGCCCTTGTTACCAGAGACTGGAACTCTTTCCTGCAACCTATGCCATTTTTACTGTAGCAACGGAATCTGTGTCATAAAGACACAAGTACTAAACCATAAATCTGATCTTCTATCATAAAAACAGCATATATGGCAAGAGAGAAGGCAAGATAAAATTAAGGGAGGTGAATAATTTACCAAATAAGAATGTTATTCCAGAGAATTCTTGTTTTGATTTGAAGAAGAGATTGAATTTTTACCTCACACCTTTAAACAGAAAGTAGCAGCAGACCCACTATTACATACTGTACTAACGGGATAAGATACAACTCTTAACTTTGCATAATCTGTGTAAAAAAGATATGCTTGACATTTGTGGAATGTCATTTCTCTTTATAGAATTATAGGCAAGATTTCTCCAATAAAACTTAACTTAAGCCAGTTATAAAACTATAACTTCACATCAAAATTTAAAAAAGTTAAAAAATGTGTTTGAATATGTACATATCACACAGGAGTGCTTGAATGTTCTTGCAGATTGTGTTGCTGGTCAGTGTCCAGTCTACTTTCCACTTTTAAAACTGGAATAGGCTGAGTTTTCTGATCTTCCTGTATTTTAAGTTCTGATGAAGGTGGGAAGGATGATGAAGCAGTTGTCAAAAGCTGTATCTCCGTGCACGTTTCTTCAGATTCAGTTTTTATCCTCACACATTGGGAGCCAACTTCTGATTCTCGCTTTCCAGTTAAACCACAGTCCACGTTAGAATTGATTTCTGTGTTTTGTGTGGCTTCTACAACAGGGTGGTACTGTTTAAGCCTTATGTGCCAGGCTAAGCTGCACACTGCTGACACTGTTTTGAACTGATGAATGACATTTCTAGGGATGAAGTAGATATCATTGTCACATAGCTGAATTCTAGCATAACGAATGCCTTCCCGCCTCATTTGGTTTAGTTTAGCTTCATCCACCCACTGTACACACTGAAGAAGGGAAAAATGCATGAGACATTAAAATATATAATCGTTTATTCATGTAAGATAAAATCAGCACAATAAAACAGTGGGAATAAAAATGTATTATAATGACAATCAAAGTAAACGATAAAATCATTCTAAAATTTCCTGTAATGCTTGGGAAACATTTCCCCTTATATTTTACAACCTCTGTAGTAACAAAGTAAAGACCAAAGTCTGGATGGCCTGGGGAATCATTAAAATCAGTATTTCAATGTGCTAATAAATATAAATATTCTTTGCCTTTAGTGTCTTTCAACCTTTTGCAGTTGAGGGGACATACTACTACAGTGGGGTTAACAAGACTGCTCAAGGCCAGAACTAAGCAGCTTGTGCCTCTCACCACCACCCACCCAAGGCTTCCCTGGTACCCTAAAGATAGTAGGGATTTCAAGCACTCTATTTAGAAAGCTGCATCTTAATGACTTTAGGCGCCCCCCACCCACTCACCTACCCATACATTCACATATACACATAAACAGTAATAAAATTAAATTCACTATATTCAACTGTAAGATAAATGCAAAATAAAATAATACTTATTTTTAATATCTCATTCAAAAGGTAATAAAAAAGCAAGGATTGGACAGTCCCCATAGTCTAGTCAGTAAGGGAGTTAGATCCCACAGGCTGATCACAGTTCGAATCACAACCCAAATGGCTTGAAGCATGCACCAAGCATGTGTGCATGTGTGCCCCCAAGATTCCAACAGGTTGGAGAAATTGAAAAAAGGATTGTATGGGTTTGTTGGTAAAGTCATGATGCATTTTTGCATAGAAAAATATGTCATGACTTTCCCGATGACCCAACAACATCGCCATGCCCACTAGGGGGTTCTCTCTTTCTCACAAAAGCACAAAACCTCTTACAATTAAAAAGTTTTTTAAAAGAAGCAAGAGCTAGGCCAACAGGTGATGTGGTGGATAAAGCACTGGATCCCACATAGTCAACTCCGCAGTACAAATCTTAGGCCTGGTGGCTTGAAAAACGTGCAAGGTACATGTGCATGAATGTCCAAAATCATGAGACGAGAAAGGAGGAAAAGGGATTGCGAGAGATGATTTCTCACGTTCCCTCTCTCTCTGTATCTCTGGTGAGCACACCATATGGAAAATATCTTAAAAAAGCAAATTATTACCTGGGAAACTGGCGGCTCATGAAGGTCTAACTGAAGTCTCTGTACAACATCAGTAAAATCCTCCGCATGGAAACAAATCACATCTTTGGTTATGCGAGGTTGGTCACTCCTAAAAGTAATAAGATTAAGTTTTAGGGACAAACATTTCACAATGGAAAATGATGACAAATTCCAGTTTTTATGTGCCTGGAAATGTTACTACTAACAAACTAGATTTCTTGTACAGACTGTCAAGACTAAGGCTACATTTGTTTCTTTAATCAATTAAAAACAACTGCTTTTTAAAACCCATAAAGTGGTCAGTGGGTAGCATGGTGGTTGAGGTGCTAGACTCCCAATAGCCAACTGTGGTTCAAGTCCAGACCCGGTGGCTTGAGGGTTACACCAGGCATGTGTGCATACATGCCTGGAATCACGAAAGGATAATGGAGGAGAAAGGACTGTGGCATACCCATCCTCCCTAGAAGGTGATTTCTCACTTTCTCTTTCTCTCCCTCTTTTTCTCTCTGTGGAAAGAGTACATGCCCTATGACAAAAACAAAACGACGACAAAAAACTCATATGAAAATCATATTAGTTGTTGCAAAATTAAAATAAATGGCTAGGGCCAGCAGGTGGCATAGTTAAGGCTTTGGACTATCACATGGCCGACAGCACTCTGAGTCCTGGACTTGGAGGCTTGAAAATCATGCCAGGTACACACACGTGTGTGTGCACCCAAAATCCTGAGAAAAGAATGGAAGAGAAGGGATTGTGGTGTGGCCATCACCCCCATGGGGGTTGACTTCTCACTTTCTCTCTTTCCTGTGAGTGCACAAGCACTATGGTGAAAATGAAGAACCAACCACACACACACAACATAATGGCTAAAAAGAATAGTTTTATTCTAAACTAGTTGCATTTCTAGTCCTCTTACCACTTTGCCTCTCTGGGTGCAGCCACTATGGAAAACAGTAAGGCACTTCCTCAAAAAATTAAATTTAGAATCACTATGTGATCCAATAACTTCTAGGTATATACCCAAAAGGACTGAAACCAAGGGACACAGAGATATTTGAGGCCAGCCAGGTGGCATGGTGAGTTAAGTGGCTAGATCCTATGTGGTGGATGCGTAGTTCAAGTTTGAGACCCAGCAGCCTGAAAAACATGCCCCAAATCACAAGAGAGTAGAGAAGGGATTGTGGCATGGTCATCTCCCTGGGCTGCTTTCTTACTTTCTTTCTCTCTCTCTCCCCCATTCTATCTCTCTCCAGGTTAGTCAATGTACCCTATGGCAAACAAACAAAAAAAGGAGATACGTGTGCACTCATGATCATAGCACCATTCACAATAGCCAAAAGGTAGAAGAGACCCAGTTGTCCACTAATGGATAGATGGGTTAAGAAAATGTGGAATAGGGTACCAGCAGTTAGCCTAATGGCTATGTTGCTGGACTCCCATGTAGTCGACCGTGGTTCGAGTCCTGGACCTGGTGGCTTAAACTCACACAGGGTGTGTGTGCGTGCATGCCCAAGATCCCGAGAGGAGAATGGAGAAGAAGGAATTGTGGCGTGGTCATCCCTCCTGGGGGGTGATTTCTCGCTTTCTGACTCTCTGTCTCTGTCTTTTTGGTGAGCGCATGCACCCTATAGCAAAAACCTCTCCAAAAAAAGAAAAATATAAAGAAAATGTGGAATACACATACAATGGATTATCATTCAGCCTTGAAAAGCAAAGAGATTCTGACACTGGCTACAACATGGATAAATCTTAAAGACATTAGGCTAAGAGAAATGAGCCAGCTATAACAAGACCAATATTGTATGCTTCCACTTATATGAGGTATTTGAAGTAGTCAAGTTCATAGAAACAGAAAGCTGAATGACAGTTAATCAGAGTCTGGAGGTGAGGAGTGAAAGGCAAATTGTCCAATGTTTATAGAGGTTCTGTTTTGCAAGACAAAAAAGTTCTGGAAATTTGTTTCAAATAATGTGATTGCACTTAACACTTAACAGTACTGAATAAGAGTAGTGTTACTGTTAATGTTATATTATATGTATTTTATCACAATTGAAAAATTATCCCCAACCTTTAAAAATCGCCCACATGTTCTAAGACATTAACACTGGAGTTCAATTCCATTAACTTACCATTCACCAAACTGTACAGCTTTCAAAACCCCAACAGCAGCCGTACTCTGCCAGTCAAACCCCTGACCTACATGATCAGCATGAGCTCTTGTCCTATCTTCAAAGAGGACTTCACGGGGTTCACTAGTCCGAGGTAGGTACTGGAGATTTTTAATTTCATTCATTGATCTAGAATTAAGTTGGTTGTGAAGAAAAGGGAAAGCAAGAGACAAAATTAAAAATTGTTAATAGCAAAAAGGTGGAAAAGTTTGCTGAAGTACCACACTTAAATAAGGTGAGAGCTGAGAAAGTTTCAATGATTCTGATCATTAACATTTAACACACTTAATTATAATACTTCATGTGATAACTTCTGCTCCCTGTAGGCCCTAATAAGGTAGAAGCTGTATCTTTGTTTAGGTTTAAATACAGTGAACATATATGATACATCAAGCCAACAGAAAGCACAATTTACAGTTTTCAGCCTGCATAGTTTTGTTCACCCTTAGGCATCCTCATTTCCAACACTCAAAACATTCTATCAGACTACCTCTGATTCAAAATAGCAAACTGGCCATCCATGAGATCTCTTCTATATTAAAGTGAAAGTAAATGCTTCAAACTAATATGTGGGAAGGGGTGCTAAATGGGGGAACGAATGGGAATGTAGATGAAACAGAACTGGCCATGAGCTGATGACTGTTGATATTAAAAACAGGAGAATTTATTTAACTTTTGCTTTTTTATGTGCTCAAAACTTTCTAAATATAATAATCTAAAGATATTAGTATAAAAGAGGAGCCATCAGTGGCATGGTAGCTATGGTGGCTGGATTCCCAAATGGCCAACTGTGGTTAGAATCCTGGACCCGATGGCTTAAAAATCATGCTGGACACGTGTGCATGTGTGCCCAAGATCCCAAGAGAACTAATGAGGAGAAGGGGCTCCAGCATGGCCATCCCCCCTGTGGGGTGATTTCTCACTTTCTCTCTAACTGTATCTCTCCTCTCTGGCGAGCACACATGCTCTATGGCAAAAAAGAAAAAAAAGATGTTAGTAAAGGAATAAGCAACAAAGGAAATGAATTAGTGAATGAGCTATACAAATAAACTTCTGCAAGACAGAAAATGGTCAGTGTTTCAGACTAATAACTGAACAGTGAAAGCCAAAGGCATAGAATACATAAGAAGGAACAGGCAACTAAAAAGGCAGCAGCCCTACCCGACAGACTTAGAAGCCTGAGCCAAAATAAAGACCAGACATATGATGATAATGGATAGAATTGAAGTAAGCGGGTGTGGTGAGGAAAGCGCTATATCCCACATGGTTGTTCTAGTCCTGCACCCAGTGGCTTGAAAAACATGCCAGGCACCTATGCATGTGTGGCCCAAAATCCTGAGAGAAGAATGGAGGAGACAGGATTGTGACATAGCATTCTCCCACACAGGGTGCTTTATTACTTTCTTATTCTCTCTCTCTCTTCTAGTGAGCACACGTGCCGTTTAGTAAATTTAAAAAAATAATAATAAAAATAAAAGGAATCAATAGCCATACTGCTTGCTATGCTCCTAGCATGTCTGGCTCTGCAGCCAGGGGCTGAAACCCTGCATGTCTTCTGCACCCCCATGTTCCCAACCACTTGCACTCAGAGATCTAGCCTCCACACTACCTCTTTGGACAGAGAAAATGGATATTGATCAGGAATGGCCTAGTGTTTAACCTGTTGCAGCACCATTTAAATACTCTACATGGATTTTTGACTTTTTTGAATTTTGGAATATGTGCATATACACGATGGGATACTCGGGATTAGGACCCAAGTCTGAACATGAAATTCATTTATGTTTCATATATACCTTATACATATAGGCTGAAGGTAATTTTATACAATATTTTGCTTTTACTGTGACCCATTACATGAGGTCAGGTTTGAAATTTTCCAACTGTGGTGTCATGTGGGCACTGAAAAATCTTCAGATCTTGGCCCAGTCAGGGTGACATGAGAAGGACAATACCTCTGTGCAGTGGATGACATTGCATGGGAGGCCCAGGTTTGGTTCCCAGCCCAACCTAAACAGCTCAGGTATAGTGGCATGTTTCTGTGCTCCAAGTTAAACAGGAGGCTAGGACAGGAGAATCACAACAAGGAAGGACACTTGTCAATAATACCTACCTCTCTCTGTCTCTCTCTCTCTTTTAAAAAAAATAAGTTTTTCATTTTGGAACATTTTGGATTTTAGATTTTCAGGTTAGGAATGCTTAAAATGTAGCTGTAGTTTCACATAATATACAAGCTTAATGGGAAAAAAAACCCTAAGGTTTTTTTTTTTTTTTTTGAGAGGTTTTTGTGATAGGGCGCATGCGCTCGCCAGACAGAGCGAGACAGAGACAGAAAGCGAGAAATCACCCCCCAGGGGAGGATGGTCACACCGCAGTCCCTTCTCCTCCATGCTCCTCTCGGGATCTTGGGCATGCACACACACATGCCCAGCGTGAGTTTTAAGCCACCAGGTCCAGGACGCGAACAGCGGTCGACTACATGGGAGTCCAGCGACATAACCATTACGCTAACTGCTGGTTCCCAAAACCTAAGTTTTAAAATAAACATTATATAAAGAAAGACTTACTTCTGTACAAAGAAAATTTGTAATAAATTTGTAATAAACATATGCACTGGGGCCAGCAGGTGGCATGGTGGTTAAGGGTGCTGAACTCCCACATGGTCAACAGCAGTCCAAGTCCCAGACCTGGTGGCTTACTTTCTCACTTGCCCTCTCTCTCTCACACACACACAGTCTGTACACCTCTGGTCAAATTAAAATAAATAAGTAAATAAATAAATAAAGTTAGATAAAATAATTCTTTCTTTAAAAAAAGTACATATGGGGGCCTGCAGGTGGCATAGTGGTTAAGGGCACTGGACTTCCACATGGCTGACCGCAGTTCAAGTCCCAGATCTGGTGGCTTGCTTTCTCACCTTCTTTCTCTCTCTCTATTCCTCTCTGGTCAAATTAAAATAAATAAATAAAGTTAAATATAATAATTCTTTATGATTAAAAAAATGTACATATGCACTAAAATCTGAAAAGTTAATATGCCTGAATGGGTGGGGTTATGGCTATTTTTGCCTTCTTTTTAACTCTTTTCTATTACCTTTAAGTTTATAATAATCAGGAAACAAACACTTATCATTTCTTTTTTGAAAAGCTTATAGAAACAAAAAATACACATAGTACTTAAGAATTTTGTAGAAGTTCAAGATTCATCAGCATCATGCACAAAAACTGATGTTGTCTAGCAATGTACAGAAGCTTAATTGCTGGTTTTACCATACTATCTTCTTGCATTCATATATAGTTTTTTTTAATCAATTATTTATTTAATTTTATTTACTCATTCATTTATTTTCATTTGACCAGAGAAAAACAGATGCACAGAGAAAAGGAAAGTGAGAAAGCAAGCCACCAGGTCCGGGACTTGAACTGTGGTCAGCCATGTGAGAGTGTCCAGCACCTTAACCACCACATCACCTGTTGGCCCTGCATTCGTATATAGTTTTTACCAAGTATTTTAATGTACCATCTCAAGTACTTAATATACTGAGCTCAAGTATCATTTTCCTATGAGCATTAAGACTTGGATTATAGTCCATTAAAATTTTCTCCTAGGCACTTACTTTGAATTACTATTTCCATATTTCCAATTTTATAACTAAGCAGTTATAAAATTATTTTCACTTTCAATAAATAATATGTTTCAAATACTACAGTGAGTTCATCTATATTTGTTTTAAGTGTCTGAAATACAAAATATGTTAGCACAACATGAAATACTGAAGTTGTACATGATATCGCACATTATTGGTTTCATTCAGCCAACACTGGCTATCTATTATGTGTCATGAGGATAGAGAAAAATAAAACTGTCCCTGTCCTCAAAGAATTCAAAATCAGTTTAAAAAAAAAAAAAAAGGCAAACAGAAACATGTAAACAGATTATTAAAGAGCAGAATATTGGAGGGGCACAGAAAAGGGAACAATTATCTGCAGTAACAAAACCTTCACAAAGGAGGTGACATCAAGTTAAGTTTTGAAAATTTATTAAGAGTTTGCTAGGCAGAGACAGATTGCGGCGGGGGTAGCGGGCTAGAGGGAGTGATGCCACTGAAGTAAAAGAACAGTTGTAAAAGCAAAAAGTTCTGAAAGACCTCGTGGTTTGGAAACTGAATTCAGCAATGGCTGAAGCAGATAAGAAGCATGCACACCTAGAACTGGTGCTGTTGGAGGCAGACTATGAAAGATTCTTGTAGACCACACTAAGGAGTTTTAACTTTTATTTTGCAGGCAGTTAGGACCCAGGTTTTAAGGATGGAAATAAACATTAAATTTGATTTTTGGGACAATGTCAAAGCCTAATGACTGTGTAGAATGGACTAGACTAAGGAACTGACAACTAAAGGATTTATTTAGGAGAGTTCTTCAAAAAATCTTAACAAAGATTTTCAAACTGTTTAGATCTCAATCCTTCTTACAAGCAACCAACTTAAAAAATAAAAAAAAGCAGTTTTGTTAGGTTGAGAAAAATAAATATTTACCGTCGTCTTTTGAAGGGTGACTTTGGCATATCTGCTGTAGGGATCATCTGCTCTCCTGGCCTTACCCACATTATAGGCCCATCGTCACTCTGGGACCTACACTGAAGTCGGAGGCTGGAAAGAG